TGTCATATTGTATGAGGATCTGCTATAACTACGACTGATCTATTATTAATAACTGACAAACTGACAGCTATTCATCTGATTCTGAAAATATCTTACATGCATTTGATGTTGACATCATATACTTTAAGCCTCCTACCCCTCTCATTCCATGTATAAAATGTTCATTTTCTGGTGTTTATTTATATCTTAATTTACTTTTTCATGGTGTAGTGATTTTTTTTTTTACATCTAATTGAAGTGTAAAACTGTAGAAAAAAATTTAGCTTCAGTTTGGGGTTGATATATTTGTTTTGAGGCTATGCCCCATAGAATAGTTAAGCAGAATTACTAGATCAGGAACAAGCCATGAAAAACATTAGAACTAATATGCAAAAGTAGTGAAGAAAGCTGATGGTGTCCGGCTACCAAAGGATATAGCATCTGGGGTCTTAAAAGCTTATAGGTAAACAAGCGGCCAGAAGAAACAAAGCCCACATGGAAGAACACATCAGCCTGTGTGATCACGAGGCGCCGAAGGGATCGGTTATCTGGCGTCAAAGAACAAAAAATCATATCATTGTGTGCTCACTTCCATGATAGGATCGCTGAAGACAAATGGGTGCATAAGCAAATGTGGTTAAGAAAGCTGATGGTGCCCGGCTATCAAAAGGTATAGCATCTGCGAGTCTTAAAGGCTTGAAGGTAAACAAGTGGCCATCTAACTCAGAAGCAACAAAGCCCACATGGAAGAAGCACACCAACCTGTGCGATCACGTGGTGTTGAAGGGATCAGGTATAAATAAGGCATCATCAGAACAAAAAATCTTACCATAGTGAATGATGGGGGGAGTGCGGAGTGGAGACCCAAAGCCCATTTGTAGGCCACTAGTGATCCCCTTGCAGAGGAGTCTTGAGGAGGAAATGAGCCAGACAGGGTGCGATGTAGCAACGATGAAAAATACAACTTTCCTCTCCTCTAGTTCCTAAATGCTTCCTCCCTCCCCACCCTCATCCCATCCCCACTCCCCTGGGCCAATATCATGATCCGAATTGTACCTTGCAAGTCTGGCTAGACCAGAGGATGTACACTGGTACAGACAGCAACTGAAAACACAGGGAATCCAGGGCGGATAATCTCTTCAGGACCAGTGGTGTGAATGGCGATACTGGGAGGGTAGAGGGAGAGTGAGTTGGAAGGAGGAACCGATTACAAGGAACTATATGTGACCGCCTCCCTGGGGGACGGACAACAGAAAAGTGGGTGAAAGGAGATGTCGGACAAGGCAAGATATGACAAAATAATAATTTATAAATTATCAAGGGCTCATGAGGGAGGGGGTAGCGGGAAGGGAGGGGAAAAAATGAGGACCTGATGCCAGGGGCTTAAGTGGAGAGCAAATGTTTTGAGAATGACGAGGGCAATGAATGTACAAATGTGCTTTACACAATTGATGTATGTATGGATTGTGATAAGAGTCCTATGAGCCCCTAATACAGTTTTTTTTTTTTTAAAAAAAGAAGTAAATGAGGAGCTGATGCCAGGGACTTAAGTGGAGAGCAAATGTTTTGAGAATGATGAGGGCAATGAATGTACAAATGTTCTTTACACAATTAATGTATGTATGGATTGTGATAAGAGTTGTATGAGCCCCTAATAAAATGATTAAAAATAAACATTAGAATTCCATTCTAATTCTCTAAAAGTCTCAAAGGCTGAAAATTGAGCCATTGCCAATTTGTTTATTCATAACTTAATTTATTTCTATAAACAGTTTATTTCTATACTATTATTGGAAAAATGACAAAAGAAGATCATTATAAGATGATGCATGCATTATTTGAGAATTGCAAATGTCGCTTCTAATACTGAGAAGTGTGAAAATAAGAAAAGCATAGTTACTTGCCATAGAATTGACCAATTTATAGTATTTTTTTTAAGAAAAAATCTTTGGTAACTACCTATTTCTATGTTCTTTTTTCACAGTCCTAGATTTTCATAGCTAATAGGAGAAATGAAAAAAATTTTTCATTGAAATGATTATTTATGCTCACATTATACTGTATTTTTATGTATCAAAATAAATGAATGCCTATAAGTACCATATGTGAACCACCATGCTAAGCCCTACTGGGAACAAATGGGTCTACTGCTTACAGTCTGCAGCTATAGAATGCAGGCAGTTTATCTAACCTTAGATTCCCTACTTACTAGATTGCATAATCGCAATGTTTATCTCATCAGATTGTTGTGATAATTAAGGCAGATATGATTGTAAAACACTTAGAATGATTCTAGGCATACTGATAAACACTTCATAAGTGTTAAGTGACATATAAGAGTTAAGCTTCTCTTAGTTGTAAAAAGAAACCCATGCTAAATTTCATATATGCAATAAGCACAATATGCCTATTACATGCCAGCCACTATTCTAGGTAAGCCCAAAAGAGAAAAAAAATTTATAACAAAGATATAGAGGCAGAGGCATCACTGTTCCATCCACAAGAAGGTCTGTTCAAAGATGGTACATAAGCAAATGTGGTGAATAAAGCTGATGGTATCTGGCTATTAAAATATATAGTATTTGGAGTCTCAAAGGCTTGTAGCTTAAACAAGCAGCCATCTAGCTGGGAAGCAATAAAGCCCACATGGAGAAGCACACCAGCCTGTGTGATCATGAGGTGTCCACGAGAAAAGGTATCAGAAGTTCAAAACAAGTAACCAAATTGGTGTGAAGGGGCATGGATGTAGTGGAGACCCAAAACCCACCTGTAAGATAATTGGACAGTCGCTATCAGAAGAGCCACATAGAAGAGATGATAAATCCAGGGTACAGTATAGCACTGATGAACCACATAACTATC